TGTCTAGGGTAGAACGTTGGAATTGAAGTAAATTTTACAGTCTTAAAATAAGTAGGGTTTAGTAAACCTTCCTGCATCATATATCAGCACTTATATAATAATTAGTGACTGAACAAGGGCAAGTGCTGTAATTAAAGGCATGCAATAACGCCATAAGGCCATTGGATAATTGCAGGTTATGATTTTAACTTTTTCACCACAACTGCTGTGTCAATTGGGTTAAAAGCAGTTACAAAAATTATCCAAATGACTTTATTTTTAGCATAGCTTCTTCAGCCAGGTACTATAGATTATTCAAGTCGTATAACAAACTTGTATTACAACGAAGTGCGTGAAAAGGGTTCGCGTTCCTATTTCACAGGTGGACATTTAAAAATTATTCACCCGTCCAATAATACAATTTTACTATAAAAATTAGATGGTGGTTTGTGCAAACATAAAAGAGTAGAAAAACAATACAATAATATATTTTCGATTCACTAGTAAACTGCCAATCCTACAGTGAACTCGAGAGCCCATTTTGATGTGTGTTACATGTTCGGTTAGGTTAAGTGTGGATATGGCGACTATGCGTTTCCCTTATGAACGGTAATCTTTACAGAACAAGTTTCTCTTTGGTTTGACTAACTTGTTCAAAAATTAAGACAAGAACTCATTGTACATACTTTACAGAGAATAGAAACCTACAGTGTATTGTCTCTAGGTGACCAGGTGTAGACTACTAGTAGAACAGGGACTATATTTAATACATGATATAACTTAATACCAACTCTAGAATCCACGATATATTTAAGTAAATTTGTATATGCTTAGTTATGGTTAAACACGACTAAAACAATCCAACCAGCTCATTTTGCAACATAAGCATGAAGTGAAACTTGTATCCACGCATTCCCACAGAGTTCTGACAGCTAATAAAACACGAGGCGCCCCGCGGCTGACGAAAATCACGATTAAAAGGGTGAAAAGTAAACGCAAACAGCGACAAATGGCCGTAACAGGGCGTGAAAGTGTTTTATGTACCAGGTGGGCTCGGATATGAACAATCTGGCAGATTATGTGGACCCTCGTTCGCTAATTAGGTACATTACCATAACCGGGGCGTCCGGTGTGAGCGTGTGTGTGGTTGCGGTCACTATACACTAGTAGAATAAGAATAAATACAATGGTAAGGCCGATGAAAATGTATTCGGAAAATATTTCTCATTTACGTAATATATAAAAGAATTGGGTAATCAGCCCATCAGCCCTGGCCCGGACAACAACCTTGGCAAACACAGGGCTATCGATTGTAGCAGAGGCTTGGGTGTGGGGCAGAGGGTTAGTTATGACACCGAAAAGTCAACGTCTGTCCTAGATAGCAAACTGTCTCTGCCAGGAAGGGTGTCCGATAGTTAACGAATGGCCTAATTGTGCCACCGAAAAGTCAACGGCCGCCCTAGTCGTAATGGTTAAATATTTTTAGTAAACGAACTATTGTCATCGGTAATATTTTGCGAATTTTAACGCTTATGTCCTCGACTCCAGCAATATATTTTCCTCTACGGATAATACAAGTTAATGTAGCCCTAGAGCGCATGCTTTGAAATATACAGTTGCACTGTAGTACGAAGAAAACATAATTTGCCGGAGGTTTCCGGCTGTAAAAGCTAACAATTATAACAAAATATGTAAGGCACAACTAATACAACTTACTTTACTGACCCCCACAATTATATCGTTTTTTTACTCAGAAAACCCAAGAAACCCCTGACTTGGTGTTATCTTTACCTTAAACTTGTCCAAATATTCAATCAGGAACCCACGTGCGCTGCTTTACACCACTTCACGACACGGATAAAGTGATACTCAACAGTTACTTGTAGACGGTTGACCGAGTACAGTACTGACTGAGCCCACAGCAAGCAGTGCGTTGTTAGGTACAACACGGTCGATACTACAAAGTACCTCTCAGTCGTCCCAGCGACCTACTGTCGCCAAGTTAAATTTGCATTAGGTTTTTGCACTTGTTTGTTTACCGAAAGTTCTTAGAAGCCAATGTGTATTCTTAAATTATAACAAAACCAACAAAAAAGAAAAAACTCCAGTTGGCTTAATAATATTACAGAAAATCGTGTCAACGTCCTTCTACTCAATTTGGTGCACAGGGTGTTGTTGTTGTGACCTAATTAACTTGATCGTAAATTCATAAACAAGGTTCAAGTTTGAGTGGAGAGGAAACAATAACCGACAAGCACGGCTCGCCTCGTTAGTTTTGATGGCGCACTCTGAATCTTCCGCTACATAGAGCATCACTTCTGCTGTTCCAGACAGACGGTAATATATGTAAAACAGATAAACAAGTTATTTCATTTCATAGATTAGTAGGGGAATTAGACCATTAAATGAAAATACTACGCTAATTAATAAAATACGTATGTTCCATTACGAACATAATTACAATTTAAGGTTAACATGACGACTTTACGATTTAAAGGAGTAGGTACTCTAATCAAAAGGAAGATCTATGCAGAAATTGGGAGCCGGTAATAAGAAGAAAAACCTTGATGTCATAAGGAGGTCCTTAAAACAGAAAAAAAAAACTATTACAACCCAAATGTTTACATCATCCCAATAGACCTAACATTGAGATCAGAATGATGGTCTTGAGTACAAAATAAGAACGTGAATATCTTAAGAAGAAGGTATAGGCCATTAGAATGATATTAAGATCTTAAGCAGGACATAAAAGCCATAACGCTCCTTTCCCACTATACGATTTCGCCCGTGCGATTACTAATCGTAATTTGTAGTCGACCATTGGAGCTTTAAGGCGTATCTCCACATCTTCAGAAAATGTAGAGGCCAAAAGGAGGTTCTCTCAAGCTCTTGATGTTAACGTACAAGGCAGGAGGAGGTTTTCAAGATATTAAATAAAGTGTAGTAGAGGCCAGAGGGAGGATTTTGAGATAGTAGGAAGGGTTTGAAATCAGACGAAGGACCTCAATTAAGATATTAAAGTCAGAAGGGAAATCTAAGATGGGAAAGAAGATATTGAAGGCACAATGAGAGCCTAGAGGCCAGGAGGGTATTTTAGTCAGAATGGGGATCCTAAGGACGAAAAAGTACGTTAGCAATCATTGGGGAAAATAACTAAGACGCCGAGAATAATCAAACAACCACACAGTTTTTTGAATAGACCGAGGCAGATAACTATGGAATTTTTATATAAGGAGTTTCCAAAACCTCGAATGCAATTTAGTATCTTCTTCACAGCTGCACACAGTTGCGACGTGCTCTACTAGAACAGATTGTATCGAGTGAGCCACCCACAGCGTCACCGTTGCAAATCTGATCACCATAGATATATTCTATATGTCTATGCTGAGCACTGGCGCCGCGCCACGCACTAACTGCCTCCCACGTGGATCAACATGGATTACTACACCATCAGCTTCATTCAAAACTACTCAATACAATGAGTCATTAAGGCACAGATCTCCCCTATGAATGATTCCCAATTCCCAACACATCGTGGTTAGAAAATAAGAGTAGGTTTGAAGATAAACCGTCGAGCAAAACTATAACGTGGTGCACTTAAAGAAATGTCCAACAATGACCAATATTTTAGCATGTACGATTGCAGCTCTGTGCAATAAAATTACCAAAGGTTACCAAGAACGTTTGTATATCTTAAACTATCATTAGGTTCTGTATACAATCAAACAAAATTATGTCGATAAGAAAGATAATCCAAAATAAAACGTGAACAAATGAAGAGAATCGTTGATGATACAGTATAAACTTAGGTTTGTTCAACAGTTGGGTATGATACAAAACATGCCAAATAATAGAAACAGTTATTTTGCTTGTGAAAATTTTAAAAAGAAACGTTTAATAGCAGGAGGATAAAACATCATAACCATAAAAGGTGAATTTCTTAGCCAATAGTTTCCAATTCCTAGGTCCCTTGGATGTAACGAAACTGAACTGAACAATTGGGGCAAGTGAGGTCTTTACATTCATTTTATTCTACTGCTTTCGCGATCGTCGTACTTTCCATTTACAACTTTGTGTGCTTTGTTCATACATTGCAGAAAACCAATCGTTTTGCTCGTAGAGAAAGACTTGGTTCATGTATTAATAACAATTTTACTAAAACACTATAAATTATTGGCTGAAACAATGCACAACAATTTATCCTTTGTAATTGGATTTTACGACAAGAAGGGCAATTTACTTCGCCTTAAAAGAAACAAAAGTATTGTTTCTTTAACTAAAATCAACTCTATAGAATTAAGGGATATTCCTACGGATATTTCCAGCACGAGTATTGCATAAGTAATTTTGTACACAGTAAGAAGGGTGAGGTTTCGCTAGACATATGGTATTAAATAAACTACACATAGTGGACCTACGCCTAACGCAACGCTAATGTAGGATTATATCATGTTATGCTACAGCTTCAAATTTCAAGCGGCTCTTAAATACCTTGACGTGAAATTACTTAAAGCTATTGGGAGGGTGCTATGCCGCCCTACTCAAGCCTGCAACACGGAACTCTGAGCAGACCGGTTGGGTAGCGGGCCACGTAGGTAAAGGTGACACGAGAGCAGAAGAGTTGGCTAGAAAAGCTGTGGGCATGCCATCCCTTGCCATTCAGTCATTCAGTGCTATTAACGAATCAATCAACAAATTGACTGATAAACGAAAGATTCAGAGGACAACACCCTGAGTTGGCACAATCACCCTGGACAATAACTTTAAAAAGCTGATTTCAGATTTCAGCACCCTATACACAACCTGGTTGCTGGAGCTGGGCCCAGTTAGTATAGTAAAAAGTGGTTTGCCCACAGCTGTCGTATACGTGCCTGGACCAAGAATCCACTCCTTCCCATAAATTAATCAATAAATCGCAGCAATTAATAGATTGTTTTAACAAAAAACGTTCACATGGTGCTCAAATCAAGTTTTCCGACTCAAAATTGGGTTCAAACACAATAACACTTGACATTACTTACCAAGGAAGATATCCTGATCATCCTGAGGTGCTGTGATGGCTGCCATCCCCTGACACAAGGCCAGAAGAGCGACGTAGGGGCTGCGCGGCGTCGAGTGGAGACTGAGCGGGGATCGGACCAGCTCCCCACACAACATCAGCCCTGCACACAACACAACATTGATATGATATCCTCAACATACTAAGGTGCTGTGATGGCTGCCATCCCCTAACCCAAGGCCAGCAGAGCGACGTAGGAGCTGCGCGGCGTCGAGTGGAGACTGAGCGGGGATCGGACCAGCTCCCCACACAACATCAGCCCTGCACACAACACAACATTGATATGATATCCTCAACATACTAAGGTGCTGTGATGGCTGCCATCCCCTGACACAAGGCCAGCAGAGCGACGTAGGGGCTGCGTGGCGTCGAGTGGTATCCCAGGAAACTTCTTCCCTAACTACTGTTGTATATCCTCAAAATTGTTTTATTTTCGAGATACTAACTATTGTCAACTTGTTTAAACTCCACTTGACACAATAGGACATCGAGGAACTATTGAGGACATTTACGTAGATTTATCCTCACTTATAGTTTTTTAGTTCCATGAAAATCGTGATTGAAACATTCAAATATTATAGAAGATTATTAAATGTTACTAAATATTAAACTAAAGATAAACAATTGTGCAAATCTACTTTGTGGTGCAAAACATGTGATGCCAATGCTCATTGCTGTGGAATGTATTGGTTTAGGTACGTAATATAAACGTCTGATTTTAGTTTATGTTCATGGCAGAAGCCGTGGTTCCGAGGTTAAAGCAAATGCATCTGTGAGTTAGAGAAGACATTCAGTTTCGTCCGCTCCCACCGTAATGGATCCGGTAAAACATAACTCGGGTGATTTAAAATGAAAGGAGTTATTACAATCTGTTCACTGAGCTGTCGCCGCTTACCTAGCTTGTTGATAGTTGAATATTTAAGTATCTTTTATACTGTGCTCACTCAAAAACTTTCTTTTAAACTACTAGAATTTTACCTCAAATGTATAAAGTTTTTTTCTAATATCGTATTGTATTGCATTTTTACAGGCTACTTACGTAAGGGCAGGGTCGTGGGGAATAGATAGGGACCCTAAAACTCGTTGTGTGAAAAAAAACTTCTCGAACCGTGGTTCGATCACATGTATTCAGGCCAAGGAATATTTAGGCATCGAACTGGTCCTATACACTATATACTTATCTATATATATTTTTAAGCCTTATTTTTCTTGCTGACTGTAAGTGGCAGAAACAAGATGAATCAGTATATGACAATTTTCTCTCTCTTTCAAGTATAAACAACATTCATAGTCGTAAATATACTGCTTCATTCGATGACATACTATGACTCGCCTTTACACTAATATTTAAATCCAACCTTATACAACTCGTAGCAAATTCTGTGCTCGTAGATGGTTTTATTAATTGATAGCCCAATGGACGAGTGGCATTTGAATCCATGATCGCATAGGGTCGTACTAGCATCTTCCAGATACAAAGGCTAGATCTATAACCACTGGACTACCTGGACAAGCTTTTTTATTCTAAAACGAATATAGACATGCACGTGGTTCTTTAACGGGTAAGTAATTCAGAGTAAAGACACATAGTACCCCGGGGGGTTACAGGTCATGTTATTTATGGGTATTAGACGACACGAAATGACCAATAAAATTACTGGTCGACACGAAACACTACATCCTCTTCTTGTAAAGTCACCGCATCATATGTGCGAACAGTTATCCAACTTTGTTTATATGTATATTTGATTCTCATACTGTGATTTCTAGGGATTATCAAATGTAGAAATCGTTGCACCGTTTCCTCCTAAGAATTCGAATAGTTTATTTTATTTCATAATACTGCTGTTTCTGACAGTGAAATTTTGTTCGTTATCAAATCTGTAGAGAGCATGTAATGAGTTGTTTCTGACGTGTTTAAGAAAAACGAAGAACCAGTAACGAAGCATTACTACAATTTACAAATTACGTAGCCTACTAACACAGAATACTATACTTTCTATAGAGTTTACGAAGCCGCGTAGTGAAATAGAACTAAATTCTTTGAACATATTGCCTTAAAACATCTAACATATTTACCTCAGACAACATTTTGCAGACCAATCTATAAAAAATGACAGATTTATGGACTTTTACGATGTTAGGAGGAATCTGAACTTAAAACTCCCCAAAGTAAACGTGTTAATATTACGAGAGAATTCGATAAAGTATTCAGTGGTAATCCACACACCAGTTTTTAATGAAATGTTCGCTGTGGCGAATAACTGTATTCAAACTCTGCACACGACGGCGTTCAATTGCAAAGAATACAAGTCTAAATCACGTCCATTCAAGGAACTGAGGCGGATCGTGAAGTGAATACCTCAACTGGGTTATCAAGCGAGTTTCGCCAAAGAAAAGTTGCACATAATAGATGTTGGTGATCACATGTGCGATGTACGAGCGCGCATAACGTCGCAGAGTTAGGCCCGGTTATATATTATCGTCCCCTGGGGGGTCATTTTCGCGAGTCCTTTCCGCCAATATTTTATCGTCACCTGTTATCACTTGGCTTGGCGCTAAAATTAATGCCTGCTATAACGACTCGTAAAAATAGTTGACCTCATTGCTTTATCGAATGATAATGGAATTTACTCTAAAAATATAGGGTGGCTGAAAAGTAACTTGCACCTTCCCCTTAACTTGTCAACCATTTGAGATATTTGAAATTGGTTTGCGGCAACATTCTTATATATGAGGGTCTACAATAGTGATGGTTAATTTTGAAAATTTTGCCCTTAGGGGTAGTGGGGGGTGGAGGGTAGCTCAAAATTTTCAAATGGCAAGTATAATCGAGTTTGGTATCATTTTACAGGTCTTGACAAAACTAAACAAATGACTTAAAGAACACCAAAATCGGACCACTTACTTACGCGTAAGTAAGTAAGTGGAACCACCCTACACTATCAATCACTTACGGTGATTTATGTTAGTTATTGTAATGTAATGTAGTTATTGTAATGCAGATTATCATCGATAGTAGTGCTTTTTACGATAGTTAAAAGAATCACGGTATTATATTTTTTCTTACTACCCAGTGTAAAGCAAGATTTAATCTACTAGTATTTAATAATTTTATTTGAATGTTGGCGACGGGCGTTGACCAGTATCAGTTTATCACCGGCACTAGTCGTGTTGCGGGTTGCATGTTTGGAGTAGACGGCGTCGGACTGTCTGGAGCCACCCCTCGACACCCACCCCACCCCCACAGCCATCATATCAGATACAGCCCGACACAGTTCTTGTCTCGGTATCACTACGTGTTCGACAGCTAGATGTAATTTATCATTTAGACCAACATGTGTTAGGTGGTTTACATTGTATCGTACATTGTTTAAATTTGATTCAGTTGTCCCAGTGTTAACTAAAAAAAATTTTCGTTACAAAAATTATTACTTAAAATTACGAGTCAGGAGAAAAACATTAGTACAATAGTTAGAGCACGGAACTTCTGCTCTGGCCTGGGTTTAAATCTTTCCCATCGCCAATCTGTTCGACAAGCTACGTGGTAATGTCTTAACTCGGCAGTTCGGAAGCCACGTTATAAATATAGGTGCACGCATCGAATACAAACAATAGGTATCTTAGGAGGGAAAGCAGGTTATGTGTTGGAGGTATCCCTAAAAGCGTACATTGAATTTAAAATCCACGAAAATGTGCAAAGTAATTACACTTAGCAAAGATTTTACATACTCAAAAGCTTAATAAATGTTTTACATAGAAAAATCGTGTTTCGGGAATTAATTTTTAACTGAGTAATTTTTATAGGACACGTTATTAATCGCTAACCAAGCAAGTTTTTTTCGAAACAATAACATACTAACAATTCGCTTTTTAGTGTTCGGTACACGTTATCCTCGACTGAGTATGCGCGTACACTCCGAGTGATTTAAATGTGACTTGAACAAATAAATTATTAAACGTCTGCAGATTTATGACAATCAACAATTTTCCACTCTCTTATATGATATTACGTCTTAAAAGAACAAGACCCAGTTCCGGATCGATAGCAATTGAATAAGACAAGCCCGGGGTTGGACGCAGCGACGGAGCAATATTGAGAGAGACTTGGAGCGACGTTTGGCCACCTTTATCGTAGTTTGATGGCGGACATGTGTAACATGGTTATACGTTATGTTCCTGATACGTTCACACTAAACGTCACCTCCTCCGCAACATCAAAGATTGGCGTAAAATATATCACAATAACCTACACTAATAAGTATCTAACAAAAAACCACTAAGTGGTAACACTTCCCCCGCCAAGTCAGCAACCCAAAAAAGACAATAAATCACCACTTTTCCGCCAAGTCATAAGTCATAAGTCATAAGTTCTTTATTCCAGAATTACAAAATTACATTGCATTGGAATAGTCAAGTTTATAATGAAATGTACAAAAGATAAAATATAAAAAAACTCTACTAACTAAAACAATGTGACCTTCTAGTAATCTAACAAGACAGAAATCACTGACTACATGACAGTGGAAAAATCGCGGACTCTGTAGCAAGCATTTTCAACCAAAATTTGTTTAAGTTTTCTCCTAAACCTGAGCAAATCAGTCTCCAGCTTTAGATGTTGAGGAAGTTGGTTAAAAAGTTTAATTCCATTGTAAAGGAGATGATGTTTGAAAAATGAAGTTGAATGGACGGGAATGTTTAAGTTGTATGTTGTGCGTAAGTTATATGTACTGGAGCTAATGTTGGTGGTAAATAATGACTGATGTTTTTTTACAAATGAAAGGGTTTCAAGGATGTATAGTGAGGGAAGAGTCAAAATTGCAGCTGACCTGAATGATTCCTTACAAGATCGTCTTCTGAAAAGAGAAAATATAACACGAATAGCCTTTTTTTGCATTTTAAAAAGAAAGGAGGTATGATTATTTTCATATCCCCAAACAGGCAGAGCATAAACTAGATATGGAAATATTAAGCCGTAATAAACAGAAAGAAGAACTTCTGACGAGACTGTTGTGGCCAATGTTCGTAGTACAAAAATGCCTATACTTACACGTTTTATCACGTAATCAACATGAGATTTGAAGTTTAAACATTCGTCTAAGT